CCAAATGATATTTGTCTATGATGAATATCAATCTGTAATCAATAATCGTTACATGTAAGGGAATAATTTACTAAACAATTTAAGTAGTATAATTCAGTAGTAAACTTCTTCAAATTTCCCAAGCTACTGTTTTCCTCAGTTCGATATCAAAGTATTCATATAAGCAAATCTGAATATCATCCAAATCTGTCTACAGGAACCATATGGGGGTATACTGTTTGGTAGTCCGTGAACTAAAGAAGTGCAGCGCATCCAACTCATATAATACCTAGAATTCAAAGTGACCTTAATAAACATGACTTTTTTCAATGTAATGGCCTAATCAACGAAGATGAAGCGAAAATTTAGGGTGTGTTGGGACTCGAACTAGGGGGAGATCTCAAGATGATAGACAGTATCACCAGCTTAGAAGCAGGATTTTGATGCTATTGTCCTACTGGACAATATCAGCACAAACTTCACAAAGAGTAATTGCCCACCCTCTTCGTATCCTCCTACATGAATATCAACTACCAGTGAGACACTTCACTGATCGAACAACTGAAGTGTCACACAGGTAACTTCGAAAATATGTGGGATGGTCTTAGAAAGTTCTTAAGACTTTCAACGGAATCATGAAAAGAAATTTTTGAAATACCATTGAATTGATATTATCTCATATGGATTAGTGGCAATCCAGACTTTGGTATAGTTTGAAATATATTTAATCTTTATTTCTCAGGTAAACCAGATTCATAAATTGTGTAGATAAATTACATTTTTCTATGACAACTATTTTGTCCTTCAAACTCTTGATTCTGATTGTTTCGTGGATACTTGAATGTGATTGGCTGTAAGTAAAGTCTAGTCCTGTCTATGTCTTTGTGAAGTTCTTGTTGACTATGGTGTCTAGGATGATAATGGATACTTTACGACTAAACTACACAGCTCAGAAAGCATGACACTGTCAAGATTTCAATTTCATTTTTTTCTCACTCAGACTTGGGTGAGTGACTTTTGACGTAGATGAATAGGAATAAGTAGCCATGCCAGATTGTAAAATGGAACAGAAATTTTCTTACCGATACCTATCCACCCCAATTTATTGAAACATAATTAGGAACTGTCAATGATGGATAGTGGCTAGCAGTAGAATCCATGATGCTCACCTTTTTCTATTTGGGACTCACTGATCAGTTGCATATACTTCCTTCCCAGTAAGTGATGTTGTTCTCACCAGGATTCGGACTTAAGAGCGTTCGCTTCAAACGCCAGCCTGTTATCCACTACACCACTGAGCCACGATAGCCACTTCTTGTGCGACGGGTATAGTTTTTACTATAATTGTTTTTATGTGATACCATCGTTGATTGGACCGAATTGATCGGTCTCTATTGGCATGTGGGCTCGTGTGCTGATGCCTCGATATTACCATTGTTCTAATTATGTTAATGATAGATCGTGGCTAGCAGCGGAATCCAGGATTCACATTTCGTCCTATTTGGCACTCACTGGTCAACTGGATGTACCTGCTTCTTAGTGCATGATGTTGTTCCCCCGGGATTTGAGGGAGCTGATTAACAACTTCGTACGAACACATAAGGAATGAAATGATAAGAGTAACACGAGTACCAATCAGTAACGACAAAACGAGTAGAAAGGAGTTCACCATCTCCATTATGTTAGCCTATAAAGAAGGTACATAAGATTCTCAACAAAGTTGGAATCATTGTGCCATTCACTCCTAGAAACTCACTCAGAGATAAGTTTGGTCAGATAGTTCCAGTTAAGCAAAACAATCTAATCTATGAAATTCTACATGATGATGTCTGTGAGTGAGGTCAAGTACATAGGTGAAACTAGCCAACCGGGGCCAGTAGGAATAGTTGAACACCTAGGAATTTATCTCAATATAGAATGACATATCCGAATAAGATCAGTTATCTAGAAGGTAGTAGGTTGGATAGGATAAACCACTGCACTGTACCGTCCAATATAATTGGGTGGGGAGAGAGAGAGAGAGAGAGGTGGAGAGATTGATTATTGAATCCTTGTTTCTCGAACCAGTCAACATCTAACACATGTAATATGAATGACGCAAGATGGATACGAGAGTTATGGTAACAAAGAATATGAGATGGGTGACAGGACTATAAGAATGAGATGTTGAGACTGGAGTGTGATCATATTGTTATGATAATGAGTAATAAGTAAATAATTCTCGAAACATTTTCACGTAAATTATGCTGTTTCACAATGAGCAATAATTATGTCGAATAAACAAATCCTAAGGACTAATATTATGGTGAGATGAAGCGATGAATTGATTATTTGATACTAATAGTGCCTGGTGATTGGAAGAAGGGTTACCTTGTCAAACTCCCAAAGAACTGGCGCGGAATCACGCTCCTGACCACCCTAAGCAAAATATTATGCAACATCATCCTGAGGAGACTAATAAATGCACTGGATTCAAAACTACGACCGGAAAAGGCAGGCTTCAGGAAGTACAAATAATGTGCGAACCAGATTGTAACACTACACAACGCATCATCATAAAACAGAGTGTAGAATGGCAGTCAACTCAACCTCAAATTCATCGACTTTGAAAAGGCCTTCGATAGCGTCCATCCACAAGTAATTTACCAGGCAGCTGCTTCAACACTACGGAATACCACAAACCATTATCAATCTCATTCAACAACAGCTACATGAAGATGTCAAATGCCAGCCAAGTAATTCACAATGGGAAGTTCAGTGATGCTTTTGAAGTGAAGTGGAGACAGGAGTGAAACAAGTTTGCTGTCTACTATCTCCTATGATATTCCTGATTGTAGTGGACTGGATCATACAACAAACAGTGAGGAGCGAGAAGAAGGGGGATAGGCTGGCTGGACCAGTAAAAAGATCCTAGAAGATTTGGATTTCACCGATGACTTTGTCTGATGTCGCACAAACTTTAAGATCCACAGGCAAAAACTAACAAGTTGACAGAAGAGGCAGCGAAGACGAGACTTCAAGTGAATATATAGAAGACAGAGGTGATGAAGATACCCAACCAGCACCACCACCAACAACAACAAACTCCAATCACCACCAATGGGGGAAACGTAAAGGAAGTAGCCTCTTTCACCTACCTAAGCAGAGCAGCATTATTTCAACTACATGCGCCACAGGCACAGACGAGGATGTCACAGCAGCCAGGATCGGAAAGACAGCAAGACAGACGTTCATTTACCTGAAATCAGTGTGGAGATCTTCTGAACTGCACTCAGCATAAAGTGTGAACAACAACAATTCAGTGAAGCAAGTCAGTGCTTCTATGTGATGGTTGAGAGAGTTGGCGCGTTACGAGAAGCATTTGCAACAAACTACAGATATTCATCAACAACTGCCACCTACATTGGCTCGATACTGAAGCTCAGATGGTCAGAATAATGAGAATAAGCAACAAGGAACTCTGGGAACGAACCAACGAAGCGAGAACCTATCACACAACAAATACGCAGTAGAAGGAAGTGGAGATGGATTGGGTATGCACTGAGAAGGCCGAGTGGGGACATCACGCGTCAGGCCAGTTGCTCGAGTGGAACCCAGATGGGAAGCGATGAGTTTGGCGTCCGAGGGTGACATGGAAGAGATCGTGCGAGTAGGAAATGAGAGGTTGTTGGCTGTCGTGGAGCCATGTTGAAAAGTTTGCAGAGAACAGGACGCATTGGAGACGTGCTAGTGAAGCCCTATGTTCCATTAAGAATCCAAGGGACCGAGAATAATAATAAATAATAATTGGTAGTTGGATTGGGAAGACTGAATTGAAAAGAATTATCTTAGAATCATACAAATCAGCATGCAATTTGTTGTATTTCACCTATCTTCTTAACTTTTTTTCTCGTCAGATTTCTTCCTTTTATCCACCGTTTTTACTTAAAGCCAAAAGTTATTGTCATGATTTTGTCAATTTTTCATCAAACTTATTTTCATATTCTCTAAAAAAAATTTACGTTACCATCACCTTATTTGTTAGTGTATTTTGTCTGTCGTCTCCTACCTGTCTGCCCACGCTCTCTGCTTATACGTGTGTATGTCTTTTTATAGAATGCTCTACCTTCTACCCCTTTGATTGTCTGTGTATTTGAAAAGTGATTGGTTAGTTTTCAACTAGCCGAAGGGGAATATAACCAATCAAATTTACTCATGTACGTAACAGAAAGATGAGGGGGGATTATTGTAGTCACGCTGAAGAAAGAAGACTTACGGTTATCTAAATAATTAATGAAACATTTATTCGTTGAAAAAAAGTATTTCACTGTGTTTATACACACAAAAGTAGTATTTCAGATAGGCGAAGAAAAGGATGTCATTACGGCATAACTGAAAAGTTTGGTTAACTTACTTTTGCGTAAAAACTATACTTCGTTCTGTATTATTATATCAATACACATGCACACATACACACACAGGCAACAGTATGTACATATGTGTAGTGCTAGTAACGTGGATATGAACTGATAATCTTTTTTTTTCTTTTCAAAAAACAATTTTTCAAAGGGAATTCAACGGGGAGAATACATTGAAACTGATAAATGTGAGGCATACATACATACAGAGAGAGAGATACATTTGTGTACATCACTTGGCATATAGTTAAACAAACTATCCTCTCCTTATGTGTGTACACACACACACACGCGCACATACGTGTATACATACAATATAGAAACACATGCACATACTATATATCTGTCCAGTGGAATGATAAAAACGCGATTACGCTTTACATTGTAATCATTTGAAGTTTGTTTAGTCGAAGTAACCGGTTGGTTACCTTTGTAGGGGGTCAATGGATCTAATTGTTCACTATCCATATTATTCTCATATAAATGAATAAAATTTGAGAATATTTTCAATTATATTCTAAATGATTATTATAATTATTGTTTATCAGTAAAAAAAGAAAGTGGGAAATGTTTTCATATATAGATAAGGATTATCATTTTGTATTAAAAAGTGAATAAAACTCAATGAAAATGATTTGGATAAACAAATTATTATTGATTATTACTTTAATATTATTATATTCAATGAATATGATTATAGGATGTATGAAATCATCAATGTTCTATCGTACACCAACACGTACACGTTCACATGTATTTACTCCAGGAGAATATCAACCAAAACAGATTGAAAGTAATCTAGAAGCAAGTGGACCATTAGATACACGAGATTTTCATTATCAATTACCAACAAAACGTTTAGTACGCGTTGATTCACCGCATATACTATTCGATTCTGAAGAAGCTCGTTGGATGACAAAAGTAAGTGATAAGTTTTTTTTTTTTCTCCTCTTCTTTTCTTTCTTTATTTGTTTATAAATTTATTTATTCTTAATAGAAGAATAGTTTGAGGGAATTGTACGTACCCATGACCCTGTCCTCCAGAGATCGAACCCTCGACCTTCAGCTTCCGTGGTCAGCACCTTACCATTGAGCCACTGGCTCGGCGGAATTCAGTCGTCCATATTTCCAACTTCTCTTAGCTAACGATATAGCGCAACCACAACCCAATGTCATCGTTGAGTAACTGTCCTCACAACCATCAGACTTTGCCCCCACTTATTACGACTCCTCATTGGAACTTCGGGAATATCTCTCGAAGCTAGTCATCAATGAGCACCAGTTCAACTGAATTTTGAGGTAGTTGTGGGGATTTGGAAATATTTCAAGTTGTTATTCAGCATAGACTGACATCAGTTGAAGGAACAATAGAAACCTTGGAGCACTGGACAGGCGTTTCATCCCAGTATGGGACTCCTCAGCAGTACGCATCCAAGAATATTTGTAGCTTAGGTGGATGGTCTTATGTTCTCTGAACTGGGTTGTTTAATCCTAGAGCTTTCATCATCTTTCTAGACGACATCATCAGCACTAATCTCATTATTGAAGAAGTTGGGGAGGGAGTGGGTATTGAAAATCTGAAGGCAATGAACAACTGTTTCGTCCCTAGTGTAGGACTCTTTGGCAGTATGCACCTACAGAAGTTGAGAACTGTCAGCTACTTGATGTTCACTATGAAACCTGAGGATGCTGTTTAGAAAGACAATGAAAGCTTCACGAGATTAAGCAACCCAACTGAGAGAACACAATATAAATGGATAGCGTTGTCTTGTATGTTTTTTGTTGGTAAAGATGCTTAACTATCGAGAAGATAAAATCATCACAAGTTTGCATTATTGCTATGCAAAGTAACTGCTGAAGACAGAGATAGACAAAATAGCTTAGAACTTTGCACAAAAGTACATCATCTTAACCTGGTACAATCCAACAGTAGTATACAAAGAACAAGTCAGTAGAAAATGATTAATGTCAAATTAAACAAAGTTATGTGTAAGAAGAAGACGTCAAGGGGTCTCGGAGACCTCAGTCAGGAAGTCTACCCCTACCCCCCTTACACGGTTTAGACCGATAGTCATAAACTAGTCTTGGTATGCCCATCCTGAACGCCTGTCTTCAAACCTAATCCACACAGAGGTAAGCGGTGTATTGGTATGTCCAACACCAAATTGTCTATCTTGCTTAGTATACTTCTACTGACCTTCATAATGCTCACACAGTGATTTCACCCAACGCGAGCAATCCTATGAAGATTATTACTACTATTTGTCCCTTGGGTTCCTATTTGAACATACCGATTCAGTAGCACTTCTCCATTTCACTCTCTTCTACTAAGTCTTTTTCGTTAGTCTGGCACCACACTACCCATAAGCTTTCATTTCTTCCTCACACAATCTTCACCATATCACCCCTGTGTCGGACACCCAACGCGTCGTTTCCCGTTTGGATCCACTCTACGCCCGGCATGGCCTGGCACGTTCAATACAGTCCAATCCATCTCAGTTTCTTCTACTACATATTTGTTGTGCCATAGGTTCTAGGCCGATTGGTTCGTTGCCAGCCAGCCAGGCAGCCACAGTTCCTCTTTGCTTATTCTTGTTATTCTCGCCATCTGATCTCCATCTTCAGTGTCAGTAACGAGTGAGCGAGCGTAGGCGGCAGCTGTTCATGTGATGCATGTGTGCAGTTTGTTGGAAATGCTTTTCATGATGTGCCAACTCTCTCAACCATCACATGGAAGTACTGACTGAATTAGTGTTGAAAATCCGGATGTTGTTCACACTTCATGCTGAGTGCAGTGCAGTGCAGTGCAATAAATCTCCACACTGATTATTTCAGATGAATGAAGGAAGGCCTGTCTTGCTGTCTTTTCGATCCTGGCTGCTTTGACATCGTCATCTATGTCTATGCACATGCCTCCTGTAGTTCAGACGATGCTCCCTCACCTAGGTAGGTGAAAGAGACAAATTCCTTCACATTTCTGCCGTTCATGGTGATCGGCACTTCTTGTTGTTGTCAGTTAGGCATCTTCATCATCTCTGTCTTCTAGACGTCCACCTGAAGGAATTCCCGTCTTCCTTTGCTACCTCGCCTCTTCTGCAAACTTGTTAGTTTTCGCCTGCAAATCTTCGACTTTGTGCCATATAAGACACTAGACATAAATCATCATTATTATTGGCGAAATCCAAGTCTTGTTCTTGGATCTTTTCATCGGTCCAGCCAGCTCATGCTCTTCTTCTCTCTCCTCACACTTTGTTGCATGATCCAGTCGACCACAATCAGGGAGATGATCGGTGATAGTAGGCAGCAACCACGTCCTATTCTGCCTCTACTTCAAAGGCATCACTCAGTTTTCCATTGTGGATCACTCGTCATGTTGCATCATATAGCATACAGTTGCTGTTGAATGAGGTTGACAGAGGTTTGTGGCAGTAAAACCGTAGTGTTGAAGCAGCTGCCTGCCGAATTACTTCTGTGTCGATGCTATCGAAGGCCTTTTCAAAATCGATGAAGTTGAGGTGAAGATCCACTTGACTACCAGTATATGCTCTTTTCTATGATGATACGCAGCGTAGCATTGCAATTTGATCCACACATGATTTGTTCTTTCTGAATCCAGCCAGCCAGCCAGCCAGCCAGCCAGCCAGCCTGTTGCAGTGGTAATTTTGAATGCGGAGCACTTTTTTAGTCTCTCCAGGATGTGATGCATCCTATGAAGTTACTTGTGATCAAAAATTTATTTAATGAAAACTTATATATACGAAATTCTAATCCACAACAGTTTACCACCTGCTGGACATTCAATTCAGTATAGTACGGCTTGCCATTGAAAAAGAACATGCCAACATATTCCAGGGAATGTCATAGTGTAGTCAAAGGATTCCTTAAGTCGAAGCCATCGCGTTCTCTCTCTCTCTGTCTCTCCTGTAATCTGATCATTCAAAGACTTAAATATTCACACTGTGGGGCAAAAGAATAAAAACTTCACCATGAAACAAACTCGGTTTCGGCAATATCATCCTCTTCAGCTGTTCAATTGATTAAAGTAGAGTTAGGTATGTAAGAGATATAAACTGGATAAAAGCAGTATTCATCATGGATTGACATCCGTTGGGGGACCACTAAAACATAGGAGCACTGGACAGCTGTTTCGTCCTAGGACGAGACTCCTCAGCAGTACACACTTACGACTCCACCTCGATCAGGGATCGAACTCAGGACCTTACACTACGAATAAAGTTACCAGTAGATGAGATCCTGTTAGGAGTACAGCTATGCCTAACTTCCACAATATTTCGGTTTTAGAATGAAATATGCCAACAAGTAGAAGGATTTGCCATTGGATTACCAATATCCCTCATTGTGACTGACATATTTGTGAATATTTGGGAACAGATAGCTCCAAAAGTCTGATTTCGATGTGTAAACGACACACCTACTTACAGGGTTGAAATCAGACACACACACACACACATACAATTTTCTACACAGATAAATTCAATAGTCAACGTAATCCAATTCACCTATGAATCAGAAGATGATGAACGGGAATTAGTGGGAATTAGTGATGTTGACTAGTGGAGTAAGAACGTGAACAAGAAGGGAGTTTAGACACTAGTGTCTACAGAACACCTTCATACTGGAATCGTTACTCAGACTTCAAATCGTCTCATCCTATGTCAATTACAGTTGGTTTAGTAAAGTGTCTGAGTAACAGGGCCAAAAAACTTAGTAGTGAAACAGAAGATCTAAAATAAGAAACCAGATACATGGACAATTACCCTCCCAAATTAATTGATAAGTTCCTTAGGAATCGTAACCACCTCTACAGTATTACCATAAAGGGAGTGTACCTCAGAAACACTACCTCAATCAGGCTGATTGGGAATAGAGTGGTATTTCACCCTATAAACTAACTTAGAAATAACCTTTGAAGGTTAAAAAATCCGACTAGTCAAGATCAAATACATAGGTCAAAGTAGTCGATCGGGGTCAATTACGCTATCCGAACGTAGAAATCTAGCTGGATAGAAATTGGTAGATTCTAGTGAGAAAAGATCTCCGTCATAGCTCTGAAATCATATAATGGAATGAGACAGACTGACATTTCTTAAAACTAGTCTAGTTTGGTACAAGGAGAGATTGATAACCACCAAATCCTTGTTTATCAGATCAACCAACACGTAATACATGCAACAAGAGGAATGACTGAGCATCTGTTCGTGATATATGGAAAATCTAACTACTCATGTCACAAAGGGAATTAGGGGATTACGACTATTCAAAGGATATCTCAAAGTTGTGGAGTTAGCTCCTATATGTTTGTGAAGTTGATCTCTCTAGAGGTTGACACTGTGAATGTTACAGCTTCAGACTAACATCCTAGAACGTAACATCTATGTCCAAAACATCCTAATCTGTCCTGAAGAACATCCAGTCGAGTAGAGTATGTTGACATATGATGAAATGACAAAAGCAGGAAACTGTGCGCCAGTATCGCAATTATAGGGTACTCATCATGAAACCTGAAGGCCATGGGCTCGACCCCTTCTCGTGGCCATGGATGAACAATGCTGACAAGTCCGTTACTACGTAGAATAAACTCGCCGTCAAGTGCTCCAAGCCTTACAATCAATAATTTCTAACTAATATCAGCACATACAACAATCTACAGACAATCGTCAATAACTGCAACCTACTCTGGCTCGATACTGAAGATCAAATCAGATGGCCAGAATAATAAGAATAAGCAACAAGCAACTCTGAATGACTCGCTGGCTGGCTGGCTGGCTGGCAAGGAACCAACGAAGCGAGGACCTATCACACAACAAATATACAGTAGAAGGAAGTGGAGATGGATTGGACATACACTGAGAAGGCCGAGTGAGGACATCAGGCGACAAGTCAGTTGCTCGACTGGAACC